TTCATTGAAATACAGCTGCTCTGAAGGTTGCTGAGATCTCGGCGGCCATCATTGTTTCATTTATCGTTTCTTTGGTGAATTTTCAAGACATGGTGAAATTTGAGTGTATCGAATCAGATTATAAGGAATTTTCGAATTATATCATTTTAAAAATATTTTTTGAAATTATTTAACAAAGAATTTATTTTTTAAATGACACAAATATTTCATACGAAAACTAAATAAGTTAATTGCAATTAAATAATTCATTTCATAAAATAAATTACTTGCAATTTATTATTATTATTTGTTATTTGATTTCGATGAAAATAACTAGTTTTTAATTCAAATGTTTATATTTTATTATCATTTTTGATTATTACAACGCTTACTACGATTATTAGTACATAAATTGCTCAATATTTCGAAAATTATTTCAGAAATGAGTTTTCCATTAACCTCTTTACTACAAAGACAAGATATTTTACGCAGCAAGACATCGTTTATGAGATGTCATAAGCAAGATATCTCATCAAACAATCGTTCGTAAGATACTATGAAGGATATATCTTGCATACCTTTTCACTAGAATGGGATATCTCGTCCAATGATTGAATTAATAATACACGAGATATCTTGTCCATAGTTTCTTATAAATGACATTATTGTCTTAATTATTATTTGAAATAAATTTCACTTAAATCTGTTGTGAATAATACTTGTAATATCGTGACTTATTGTTAGACATTAAATGAAATAGTATTTTCTTGTGAAAATATTTCAATTTTCTAATACATGTTTTGATTCCTTTGATTTCTCTAGTCTATTTCTTTTTTTATTATTTAAATTAAAATATACCGTTTTGATTTTATTAGAATTTATTTAAATTTTTTTTTAGATTATTTGATCAAAGAATATAAATATTTAAAATATATTTTATAAAATTGTAAATGTCGAACAAATTTATAAATCCAAAAATTTGTTTTTAAAATGAATCTTCTTTTAAATTTTATTGGAATATTCTTAAAGTTGAAAAAATATAAATATTTAAAAATGTAGATTTCAAATTTGAAATTGAAGAAAAGTATAATTTATTTATTATGTATTAAAATACAGATAAATTTAAAAATTTGCTCTCCAAAGATTTTTTTTTATGATTTAAAATTGCTAATTCTAAAGTTATTTAATAAAAGACTATAAATAATTTGGAAATTTAGTTTTTCAAAGTTGAAATGAAATATGAATATATATTATTTTAATTTAGAATGAAATAAAAATAAGGACAAGATATACTTAAAAATTTTGAAATTCTTTAAAATTGAAGAAATTTCTCGAACCTTTAAATTTTATACTATTTTTGGTGACTTGAAATTCTTGAAAAATAGAGAAATCATAATTGATAAAAATAATTTAATTTTTAAATTTTACACTTATTTTGATTATTGATTTATTTGTTTGAATTCGCTAATATATTATAATAATACACAGAGAAAAAATAAAATAAAAAAAAATTGTTTGCGATCATAAATGGTATGTATATTCTGAAAAATGGAATTCACATGGAATCTTCTCCATTTTTGGTCACTGAACTTATTAAACTAAATAAAAATCGTTTTAGGATGATGCTGCCTAAGATAACGTTGCTTTTGAGAAAATTATATTTGAACTTATATATAATTTAAGATATCTCAGTCTAGCAGAAATGCAACATGATTTCAAACTAAACAGTAACATATTCCAGACATAGCTGTCTCAGCATTATCTTATGAGCGAGAACATTTATGATATACGATAATGATCGATTCCTGATTATCATCTTTATAAAATATCAGTTTAATTCGAGGAATTTCCTCAAATTTGGAGATATCGCAAATAGAGAGACTGACTACGATTTTATTGGCTATTTTCGTATTCCACTGAAAACTCGCGTTTTTTTCCATTAAAATTTCCTGCGAAAGAACTTTTAAGGGCACGATTCTTTATCAAAAATTAAGAAAAATTACATTTAATTAACATTTCGTTATGAATATGTCCGCCGGAATATAATAAATAAATAGTTTTCTTGTGCTCGCTACTACGCATTGTACTCTGACCGTCGGACACGATAAACTTGACATTGTGAGAGACTCAGCTCTCGTATAAACACGCATACCGCACTATAATACAGTCCACTTATCGTTAAGAAAATATACCACTTGTTGTACGACGACATTTGTCGAAGAGCATTCTATATATATATATATATATACCAAATTAACTTTCCATCCACCACAAACACTATTATGGGCACGACATATACATATATATAAGCCTAAACAAAAGTGATGATACTCGAGTAATTAGATAATACGTGCGATCATTTATGCGATGCATTGTGAATAATAAAAAATTATATTATCCAAAAGTAATTATTTTTTTATTTATTTTCAATGTTAACTTCAGTTCTAGTAATCATATAATAGCTTGAATGAAGTATTGCTTTCTGAGAAACTAATCAAAATATTGATTACTTCACTTTTTTTTCAAATTTTATAACAAGAGATCAATTTTTTGTGTGCACAAATTTTTTTAGACTATCAAAGGAAAAATACTCAGCTACATATTAAATTATTCTAAGTAATGGAATTTAAAAAAAAAATTATTAGAAAAATAATAATTTTACATAATTATATGTTTTAATTAATTAATTATTATTTATATTTTATAGTTGAACCAAGTTTCTAATTTTTTTTGCTAATAAATTTTTCCTTTTCAATAAAAAACTTATTATAGTGTTCATGTGTATTAATGTTAACTTTTTGTTCTGTATTTTCAAAGATTTTATTATTTAAAAAATTTTATAATAAAAAGAAAAAAAAATATGATGGATTTAATATTAGTTACAATTGATTAATTGTTATTCTTGTTTTATATAGCCAGATATTGTGAAATTTCTTTTATGGAAAAAAATTTCTTTGTAACTTTCTAATTAGTAAAAGCAAATTATTTGTTTGATTTCTCCATTATTCGCATGAGAATTTCATTTTATTTCAAAAATTTACAAAGTGATTCTTTGTAATTACAATTGGATTCTTTGCGATTTTAAATTTCTATATATCTCATATATCTGACAGTTTGATACGATTGGAATTTTTGAATTTTAATTTCAATGATATACACTCATGAAAAAATTGAGAATTGATAGCTTAAAAAATAATGTTGTTATTATTAACGTATTATAAATTTAAGTTGAAAGAATTTCATAAAACTTGATAAAATAAAAAGAAGAAGAAAAAAATGAAAAAATTTTGAATTTTTAGAATTTTGAATTTCGAGAATTCATAAAATTTTAGTCCATTTTTAGAGGAATGAAAATGTTTTTTCTCTTATGTTACTAAAATATGAACTCATTATATATTACCATCGTTTAAAAATCGTCAGTAATTATTTATATATTTTTATATATTTTATTGTTTATATTATATACAAAAATATATAAGAAAAAAGATAATTTTTTTAAAAAATTTATAATTAATTTGTCTAGCATTTTTTCAATCATTCTATATATATTTTCTGTACTAAAATATTCGTTTCAGATTTAAGTACTTTAAATACACCTCTTTCCATTTTCTACCAGGATTTATCGTGTATTTATTTAAGTCGGTACTTTGTTAAAAGCGGTGAATTCATATTTAAATAAACACATTATCTTCTAAAATTTAATAAAATTATCTTTAAATTAATTATTTTTAATTTTATTATTAATTAGTTAATATAAGTAAAATTAGTAAATATTAGAATAACTTCTTAAATTATTTCTACAATTTAAATATGTAAATTTTATTTTAGTTGATTATTTTAACGAAAGCTAAAATTTATATTTTAATTTATTAACCAATTATTTCTTAATCAGAAACTTTTTTAAATTATACAATTAGATAACTTCATTTTAATCATTTATATCATTTTTCATTCTTGCACATATAAATAAATAATCAATGTGATACAAATAAATAATTAACAATGACATATTAAAAACAGATAATTATTTAATAAACGATTATTTGAATTAAATTGTATTTAAAATTTTGATAATTCAAATTAATAAATATAATTTATTAAAACTTATTTATTAAAAGATCATATTATTTTCACTTTTTATATTTTCAATCTTTCTTTAACAGAACCAATTCAATTTTTAATTCATTTTATATTTGTTTTAAACGCACTTTTATCTTACTTCATAAAAATTCAATAATTAACATGATATCAATATATCAACTTGATTACAATAGAAAAATCACTTAAATATTATTAAATATATATATGAATTCTTTTACGAATTAGAGTAAATTCATTTAACAAAAATTTAATGATAATCTGAAGGATTTTTTATAATTTTATAATTTTATAATTATATTTTAAAATACTTTTTTACATTACGGTTTTTATAAAAATTTATAAAAAATTTATTATTAATTGTTCTTCTATATTTTTTTTATATTGATAAAATTTAAAAAGTATTAATTAAAACGTAAAAGAAAATCTTTATCGCATTTCAATAAAAATTATTATTTTATTTATCTATTTCTAAATTTTTATAATAATAAAAAATTAATATTTTATAATTATTAATATTAATATTTTATAGCAGTTGTTATCTTTAATGCCGCAATTTAATTAATGCAATTTTTATTTTATTAATTTCAGGTTCATTTTCTATAAAAAATAGGAAACAAAAATAAGTAAATTATTTCGAATAACATCCTCAACAAATATTTTCCATATTTTAAAAAAAGATTATTGCTTCGCAATAATATTTATTCGCAACAAATATTTATATAGATAAGTAAAGACATCATTCCAAAAATATTCTTTTTTATTAAATTAAATTATTATTAAATTGTAATCACACAATTAAATTTATTAAATTTAAATTTAATTTCACGTTTCCTTTCTAAATTTTAAAAAAATTAAAAATTGATTGTCCGATAATTGAAATAGGAAACATAGTAATTAGACTCTTTACCCTAACCTGTTACCTCGCTCAATTGATTCTGCCGTACGTATTTGCATCACGTGTGCGTATTTTAAATTCCTCCCGCACTTTTTCTTCACTTTTCACCCCCTCACATAAAATTTCCATGAATAAAATTCTTCGTAAATCAAGTTTCTTCATTTCGTTTTTCTCGTTTAAGAAAATTACAATATCGAAGGTTATTATTATAATTTTATACGGTATATGTCTCGTTAAATGAAAGTCACTCGAGACATTCGCCGTTGTGAGTCACGGAAAGACGAGGATCGCGTCGCGTTTTTCGGAGCGGAGCGCAAGTAGACGACGCACTCGGGACGAAAGTCGCGCGAGCACTGCGACTAGGACCGGTTGGGTTCATTTTGCGCATCCTCGCGGCACTTCCGCCTACGACACCCTCTCTGCGACCTGGAACGTGGATTAGACATTATCAAAATATTGGGGAAAGAATGGTGTCATCGAAATGAATTGATTTTGATTAAAATTTCTTTATTTTCGTTTTTATAACCGTAAACATAGCATTTTTTCAAATATAGAAGAAAAAGTATTGTAACTCGGAATGGACTAATTGATTAAAATTTCTTTATTTTTGTTCTTTGTCATTATGAAATTAAGATTTTTGCAAATTGAAAAGAATACTATTGTTGAATCATTTGAAACGAATTGATTTTTATTAAAATTTATTTAATTTCGTTTTTATAAGTTTTTTGACTATAAACGTAAGATTTTTATAAAAGAAAGCATATTGTTATTGAATCATTTCGAAAATGGGTTTGATTAAAATTTCTTTATTATTTTGTTATTGTAATGTAAACTTAGAATTTTTACAAGTACAGAGAAAAAAATATTATTGTTGAATTATTTGAAGCGGATTGATTTTCGTTTTTAATTACAAATTTGATCGTAAACTTAAAATATTTGCAAACAGAGGAAAAAGTCGTCTATCGTTGAATCATTCGAAAAATTTTTGCAAAATATACTGTCCTTGAATCATTCGAAACAGATTGGTTTTGATTAATAATTTGTTTAGTTTCGTTTTTGTAATTACAAGTTTGATTGTAAATATAAAGATTTTTACAAAATATAGAAAAAAGCATAGTGTTATTGAATTACTTCGAAAGTGGATTTGATTAAAATTTCTTTATTTTCGTTCTTGTAGTTGTAAACTTAGAATATTTGCAAACAGAGGAAAAAGTACTGTCGACGAATCATTCGAAACAAACTGGTTTTGATTAAAATTTTGTAATTACAAGTTTGATTATAAATTTAGGATTTTTGCAAAATATAGAGCTGTTCTCGAATCATTCGAAACGGATTGCTTTTGATTAAAATTATTTAGTTTAATTACGTTTTTGTAATTATAAGGTTGATTGTAAACTTACAATGGTTTGAAAAAGACAATAAAAAGAAAATAATTTTTTTAAAATTGGACTTAATTTTTGACTAATCAAAGAGATTAGTTTATTAAATAAAATGTAAAAAAATCTCGAAAAATTTGCAATTTGTTTGTGGAATTACGAAAAAAATAACGAAATAAATTACTTTTTAGAACTTTTATTATCTAAAAATTTTATCAAAATTGGTTGATGAAAAAACAAGCAACATTGAAAGATATAAAAATCTTTTTAGAATAAAAATCTTTTTCTATCTTAAGAAAAATTTTAAACGAAAATGAAAAACTTTATTATTTTTAATTGTAATTCATAATAACGTTAATTATTTTCAATGAAATTTTTAGTTTATTTGTATATAATTGGCTCCTATAAAATGTATATGTAATATAATATTTTTAAAATTTTAAACGCTCAGATGAAAGAATTGAAAAAAACAATATTCGCTATTTTCTTGGATTTTTAAATTTTCAAAATTTTTTTAAAATTTTTCTTACACATCATTTAATAAATTAATACTTGTAATTTCTTAAAACATTTCAAAATATTAAATTCACTAATTTTAAAAGTGTTATATTTTATGTTTTAGAGAATATACTAATATTTTTTGGATCCATTGTATATTTTTATATACAGAATGGAAATTCAAATTAAAATATCTCATTGATATATTTTTTATGAAAGAATTTGAAATAGAATGCACTTATAAAAAGAGAAATTTATAGAGAAATATTTATTAAAAAAAGATCTAGATATGTAAATATTAAAAAAATTAGTGTTAATATTAATGAACTATAGAGAAAATTATCTAAAAAATGAATTGATAAACAAGAATACAGAAAAAAGATCTGGTACTATAAACATAATATAATTTCTGAAAAGATAATTTAACAGTATGAATATGAGATAAAATAAAAATATGAGATACCAAGATTTTGATATAATGATTTTATGATGACTATCTATAAAGCATTCTCACATAGAAATTATTATTGATAATTATTTTTATTTTATTTAATGGATATATTTTTATATTACTTTTCTGTTTCGGTTTATAATGAAAAGTTTCTATGAGTGTTTATTATGAAATTTATTTTAATTTCTTTTGCAGTTTTATTATATTAATTAAGATTTGAAACATTCATGTGTTTGATTATGATATAATAAATGAAGGAGGAATGACAAATTGGTAGAAATATTTAATCGAAATATTTACTTTTATCATTAGAATTTTTCGTAGTATAAGTAAAATTTTCCAAAGATTTTAGATAAATTTAGATAAATTATATATAAATGCAGCATCTATAATGCCAATTATGGACATTAGGGGATTTAAAAAATACAATTTATACATGTGATTATTGCAAATACAAAATAAATTATTAATCTAATTATAATTGTTTTATTATATTTGATGCTATTTATTATACTTGTATATCAATAAAAATTTTTTCATTATTAACATTAATAACTTAACAGTTTTATAATCTATTTTTCTCAAAAATAATATTATCTCATTATTCCTATTAAATTTATTCGATTTTGTCTTTATTTGAAAAATCAAAAAAATCAAAAGTTCTATAAAGTCCATAATCTTCTTATGCTTATATAGTATAATTTCTTAAACTTCATTTCATTTTTTTATATTATTATATTTTGCAACTCTCCACATTAAAAAATAAAATGGATATTTCATATTCATATTTTTTTGCTTATTTTTATTCAGATTTGAATGAAATTGATTTCAAATAATAATTTAAAAATAATTATTTCAAATAACACTATTTATTATTTTATAAATAATATATTTCAATTGAAATTATTTGATTAATTGAATATTTTTTATTTGATCGATTAAAGGAATTAGCAAAATGAATATTTCGAAAAATAAATTAATAAACTGAGTTATTTTCTCAAATAACTTAGTTTTATTTGCCGAAAATTTGTTTCTAAAACAAATTCAAACAATACATCTTAATAGTAATTGTAAGTATATGATAATTATTAGACAAAGAGTAATAATATAAACATTTTAGGTTTACATATTAAAAAATCAATTGTTTTCATTAAAATCAAATAAAAAATAATAAATAAAAATTATTTAATTAGAGAAAAAAAGGATCAATTATATAATAATTTTGAAAAGTAATTTTAAAAAAAATTTTTCAAAAGATTTGGGAAAATGATTTTTGAATTTTGATAATTGATATTTGTAATATTCTGTATAGTAATATAAATACATTCTTTTAGATCTAAATTATATAGATATCTAAAACAAATAATATAAAATAATATATATATATTTTAATTAAGTGTTTCTTAATCTAAACAAGTGTTTTTAATATAAATATTTAATATTGATGTTAGAATAATGTTTTAATAATGTTTAGCTGAAAAATATAACTTCGTTTATACTTTCTTCCAATAAAATATTCTATCATTATTTTTTTTTTTGTTTCTCATCAAGAAAAAGAAATATTAATGTGTATTCTTATCTTTTTTCTTTCCTATCTTTTATTTTTTATTATTATCTAAAATATAAATAATGAAATATATATATATTATTATATTATTTGAGATATAATTTTTTTTATTTTTAATATTGAAATTAAATATATGACAAGAAAATAATTTAAATATCATTTATTTATAATCTGTTTGTGAAGCTATGATTTATAATAATAAAATTGATTTATTACAAAATCTATTGTTAATAAAGTTCTATTTTAAACGATGATCAGAAGAGCAAAGTTCATATGCTAATGAAAATTTGTCACTGAATGAATTTGTGGTTCTAAAAGTTCTATTAGTTTGAGTTTTACAAAATTCAAGAGTTTAAATGCGTTCTAAGAGTTTAACAGGTCACGGTATTCTTTTAATTCGAATAATTCAAAGATTTAAAATATTCTGAAATTAAAAACGACTTTTTTTCTTGAATTTTACCAAACGCTTGTGTCCTCTAAAAATCCTCTTCTCGCGAGAACGCGGATCTTCAGTGGGGCACATAAGTGGCCAATGACACTGTGTCCCCTAGTTGAGCGACACTCTCTAAGGAAAATTCCTAGAATTAGGTTAAGGGGTTATGCCACCCACAAAGTCCATTATTCTTAGGAAATTGATTCGCGAGTGTAATAAAATTTGTAATAAATTTTCTTGAGTAGGATCATACTGATTGCTTAGAAAATTGTTTTGAGATTGGTTAGAAAATATCGTCTCAACATCACATTCTAGTTACGTCGAAATATTTCTAAAAAATATACAATTCCAAAGATCTTTTAAATTCTTGTTTCAAAAACGATATTGTCTTTACGTTACATCACTCTGTATCATCTGTTCAATGTTTTAACATTATTTTTCAAACAAAATTTTAATTTTTCAATTTATCTTTAAATAAATTTATTTATTACCTTGTTTGGAATAATTACATATGTTTTTTAATTATAATTGACTTGCAACATACATTATTTTATTTCGTAATTTATTATTTATTCAGATATTTAACATTTGTCATTTAATTTCGTTTATTATTATTTATTATTTTATTTATATATTTATTATTTAGATATTATTTCTATACTTTTTACTATTATGAGAAAAGTAATTTTATTGTGCATAAGTTTTTCGAAGAAATTTTATTCGAATTTCGATTATTCAATAATTAATTATTTGAACATAAGATAATTAAATTAATAATAAAATAATTTAAACTATTAATATATTTATTCCGGAAAATATTTTATTTATTATTTAAATAATTAATTTAAATAATTATATATATTATATTATAATGCATTTCTCTTATGAGATATATATTTGTTTAAATAATGAATATCTATATTTGAAAATTGTTTAATTTCTAATTATAAACTAATATATATTCTCTAACGTATTCGAAGATTTGTTTTTTCATTATTCAAAAAAATTTATTTCTCAATTAGTTTGGATAATTGATATTGA